ATAGATTAAACATAAATAATATTAATTAAAATCAAGTAGTATTATGTTAGCTATCTATATATAAATTCTGGCAATTAATCATGTATGATATTTACTAAAATCAAATAAAACATTATTTTTCATTATTTAATTTCTAAACATTTAACATTATTAAGAGATAGATGTAAAGCAAATCAAATTATTTCTCTCATTTATCTAACAAACATATTACATACATAATATATTATTCTCTCTTCACATGCAAAACTAGCCAGTTATGAATCACTTGTGACAGGAAGCTCATTTAATATGCTTTCAGAATCATAAATGCACAAGCCTGATTGGCTGATGCCTCCGGCAACAATATGGTGTGCCATGTTTCAATTAGCAGCACTTAAAACGAACGGCACTGGGTTTAAATGAGGCTGGTGCTTAAAATTAAATCATGAGCTAGACTCCTGCTTGCATAATATACAGAAATGTGACTGAAAACCCTCAACAAGCGGCAATTTAGCCACGTCACAGGTTGCTAACGATACAATAACGAAGGATGTTTAAAGCTGTAAATCTGAGCTAAACCGAGCAGGATCTCGGCGTTGGCACAGAAGCACTCTGCTGACCTCCCGTCCCAGAGCACAGGCCACAACATCCTCACAATTACTCAAAAGAGGAGCACTTGGGGGGTGTGGCAGGGAGCTCCCCCTCGCCTCCACCCTTGTCCCGAGGGAGTGGTACATCAGTGGCTCTCAGCTTAATGCACTGCTCCATGAATATTTCAGTGCAGTTTAATGTGGCTGTGGCTCTCTCCCGGGGGCCACCGCTTCAATTTGCGAACATGCGGCCGGCCGGAGCACTAAAAGCCAGTGGGAGAGGAAGGAGGGCAGGGCTGGTGTTTCAGATGGGCTGAAGTGATGGTGACCTGCAAATATCTCAGTATCCACAGGATGGAGGAGGTTGTAGTGGGTGGTGGATAAAAGTTTGCTGAGGATTTCTTGTAGTTATCAGATAACTGTTGCTAAGCATCTAAAAGCCAATATGATCTTTGATCTCCTCCACCTCCCTATTTACTTCATAACAAATTAAAATCTTTTGTTGTTGTTTTTTTAAATCTTTCTTTAAAATGTAATTTCTCCACCTCTGTTGACGTAACAAAGGCTGCACAGCAGAGGAAAAATAGTATTAACCAAAGATATCAGTCTAACGTCTCATGTTTTAATCAAATCAACTCCTGCCCTCATGTATTTTTTGCTGAATGTTTCAATACACAAAAAACAGAATCTGTGACATTACTGAAGTTGGCACTTTACAAGAATAGGGCACAAAACACGGCCTGAATGTCTTGAAATCCTATTATGCGGTGCTATTTTTTCAACAAATGGTCTGTGAAAGATGGTTCAGAATATGTTAAATGGCACCCTAAATATTACAAACTAAACTAAATTATTACAAGAGCAAACTAAAGGTTAAATACTGGTTTGAAACTTAATCATATACAATCAATAAAATAAATAAATAGGTTTTGTTAAATGTTTTGAAATAGATTTTCTGCTTTCATATTAATTTTACTTAGTTTTAATCATTTTTAATAAAGTTTTTGTGATTTTCAACTCCACATCATACTTAAATAGTTGTAGTTGCAGCATCATGGTGCACATCTTTAAACATGTATTTTACATAAAAAAGCAGCAAAAAATCCAAATCATCAAAACCTGACCCTGAGGGCTAAAAGATTTCGATTAACCACAAAAGGCACACTCAATCGACCCAAAACAACACTCATCCATCTTGAATCAAGTTCGTTTCACTGGACTCTTCACTGGCAGAACTCATTCGGGACTTGTTCAGGGTGAATACTAATGCACAACAGTCGGGTTGTGCTTGACAAGCTTGTCAAAACATTTAGAGAATTGGGTTTGGGACTGATTTGCCCGGTTTGAGCTCAGGGCGGACCTGTGTGGTGCACGGCTCTACTAATGGCTCTGGTAAATCATTTAGAAGCCGGAATGTGCCATTAACTACATCACAACGCCTCAAAGCTCCGCTAATGTGTAGATAATGACAGCGGGGAGGTCCCACTCGCAGCGGATAATGGAAAATTACGCTTTTTAAAGGGCAACACGGATCCATCTTTCTGGACTCAAACAGAAACAACAATTAGATGTTGTTGTATTTAAAGTGAAGATGGTTTTATCAAGTCTAAAAAGCTGGTGGGTTTGTAACTTTGAGAGAATTAGCGTGCATGTGATGGACTGTAGGACACATGGAGAAATAAGACAACTGGTTTTTGACGGCGGTACTTACAGGAGCCACAATCTTTCCAGTCTGTCCAACCTGCATGTCGTTGGGGACATAACCAGCGTCAACTGCAGCTCTGGAGGCACCGACTGCAAGAACATTTTGGTGGTTTCATTTTAAATTCACGTAGCTTGATAAAAAACGAACACTAAAACAGAACCTAGAGTAAAAATCAACAAAACAAACAGCGTACCGGCTGCGTTCAGCTTGTCGGCGAGGTCGTAGAGCAGTTTGAAGTTCTCGCCGTTCTTCAAGCCCCTCCCTGTTATGACAGAAAGACGGCAGATGGGCATAAAATATGAAATTACTGACAAGGTTATGACTCCATTAGGATCGATACCGTCTCGGTTTACTATTGATTTTCTGAGCAAAGAAAAAAAAATGCCTGGAAATTTCTAGGGAATACCCAACATCATGACCTACGGCTCAAACAAACAATGAACGTAAACACAAAGATGATGTAGTCTCTGTGGAAAGCAGTTTCAGTTTATTGTAATTTATTGATGTTATTTTTCTTTGAATAAGCAATAAAATATGAGAGTTTCTGCTTTATTGCTTTTAGAAATCAATCAAGCTTTGTTTATAATCAAATATTACAATACAATAAGGTAAATAAAATACAGTGAAAAGCAAATTACATGATATCTAGATTTAAAAAAAATATTTTATAAATGTATTTATTTAGTCATACCAGCCTCAAAAAGGTGGCAAAAATTTAATAATAATACTATAATACACAATTCTTACATTATAATAATTCTGTAAAATTCAAACTTAATATTTAATATTTGATTAAATACTTATACGATTCAAAATGAATGTTATAATGAATAATTGTAATTGACTGTTGTTATTTTTCTGTAAGCAATAAATTATAAGAGTCTGTGTCTACAGGTTGTTTAGAATAAAATATCCTAATAAAAAATACAATTAAAAATGAAATGTTTCATAAAAAAAAATTTTTTTTTTAATAATTACATGGTATCCTTCTGCTGTGTTTTTATTTATTTATGTATGCATGCGTGTACTTATTTATTTATCTATCTATCTATCTATCTATCTATCTATCTATCATAAAAAGCTATATTCATGGTAAAAAATAAAAAAGCAATAATACAATATACATTGAAGTTTCATACAACATTAAGATAACAATTATATAAAATCTTTTCATATTTGATATATCTACACACACACACACACACACATATGTGTGTGTGTGTGTGTAGATATACATCAAATACTAAAGAATATTATACACACACACATACAATTTCCCCAGGTGAAAACCAAAAACATTTCTGAATAAAATCATTGTCTAGTAACATTAAAAGCAGTACAGGCCAGTAAAATATGGAGGTACCTTACTTAAAAAAAAAAAGAAAAAAAAAAAAGAGATATTAGTGACTCTTCTGCTTGAAAAAGGGTGAAGTGATATAGGTAGGTGAACAGGTTCTCATAGCATAGCTGAAACACTGCACTGACCAATCAGCATTTGAGAGTGAACTACACATTCTGTAACATGCATTAGTTAATATTAGGACACTTTCCTGTAATGTCCAATGGATGATTGTGGTTCATGTGCGAGGTTCTTACCTCCAGACACCACGACTTTAGCACTGGTGAGTTCTGGACGGTCACTCTTGCTTAGAGTTTGTTCCAGCCACTCAGAGACCCCAACAGGGGCAGACGGAGAGACTGCAAAAGCAACAACATCTCGTGAGGAGACGTCCAAATAAACAGGCCGAGTTGTTCTGAAATGCCGTTTACGATCCCTTTAAAGCCAACGTTTAAACAAACTAGCCCATCAAAACCTCGCAGCGGAGAGGAAGATTATATACAGCACTAAATACTATAAACCTTTGTGTGTGGTATCAAAGTCAGCGTGACCTTAAAGCAAAACATGAACAAACAACAGTGTGTTTAACTTTATCAAACGACTCAGTACCTTCCTCTGAAGAGGCGCTGCCCCCCTCCACAGCCGCAGGTTCAAAGGAAGTGCCTCTGACGGTGAAGACCTTGACGCTTTCATTGCACTTGATTGTGCAGAGGGCATTTCCTGTGAACGAAAAACGGGAAAATAGGTGTTTGAAATGACGAGAAATATTCTTAATAGCAAAACATACAAATTAAATTAAATTAAATTAAAACAACTAAAAATATAAGACATTTAAAATCAAGTTTTAATGGTGGACTCCCAGTATAAAAAAGCTTGATTATTTTTTGTTAAAAGGAGCCAGATTGTCACTATATAATAGCTTGTATCAAGGTCATTAATACACATTACTACATTGTATAATGAAAAACATATCATCATAAAATGTCCATTTAAATACTTTTCAGATAATTTAAGAAAATGTATTAGAAATCATATGCACAGAACCTTCAAGGATCCCCTGGTTGAAAACCTTGGACATAAATGATCACCACACGTGGCAAACCACCACTTTTCATTTGATGTTTCGCAAGAAAAACATTTATATCTGATTTAAAATAACATTTAAATAAAAGAGTCTCATAAATAATATTTTTTACACAAGTGCTTTGTGCTTGCCAAAGATAAAGTGGCCGGAGTAATTAGGAAGTATTTATTGCAGTAGATTTTATGGATGAGAATCGGTGAACAGAAAAATAATACATGCAAAGTGGGACAAAAAGGCTCCAGGGTCCCCCATTAGATTTAAAAATGAAAATATATGATTTGTTTCAAGTCAGCGTGAGTCATTGCTCGTCTCCATGCACGATGACCAGACTCCTAAATCACAAACAATGAGAAGGATATGGAACAAACTAGGAAGATTATTTGAAAGCAAACAGGTTTAAAGCAAGCATTTCATTGAGAAGTGCTACTGGTGCATTAGTTTTTGTGTTTACCAGCGTAAATGGTCCTCACAAAGGTGTCTGGAGATTTGATCTCAATGATATCTGAAATGGGAGCCACATCCAACTTGGCAGCCACTCTTGGAAGGAGATTCTACAAATAAAGATACACACACACCCTTATTAAAGACAAACGGATGTATCTGAAGCTCTTGGATTAAGTTCAAGCCATTAAAACATGTCCATCCTTATCTACAGATGTGGTCAAATTTGATTCGTTTGGAAATAGCATTATTTCAGCAGGCATTGATCAAAATCCAGTTTCACCGCATGTCTGAAAACTTTGGCCATCCTGCATCGCAGACGGTATAAATATCGCTGAGTCTGAAAAAGAGCTCTAAGTTATGTCTGGAGGTGAAAAATATTGCATAGTGCTAATTCAAGTGTTTTATATAGTGACATAATGAAACCAAATCCACCACTTAAGAATCCATCAAATAAAATACGTTTAGCCAGTGAGGAAATTGAGACTAATACATCTCTTTGGTCTGGGGTTAGGCTACATAAGATACTGTTTAATGTATTACAATTCAATTTAAATACCATTAGATCTGCTGCCTGACAGTTTGGCTGTGGAATGACAAATAACCGTGCATATAATAGAGCCGCACTTATTGAGGACGGACTTCTCCCACTATTCCAAAAGTAAGAAGCCTGAGAGGGGCTCGGCAGTATGAGACTTTCTAATCCATTTCCCATTTGTGCTTTTCGCTTTGGGAAATAATCAAATAACCACAAAATCCTGCATTAAGCAAAGCATAACTACACTAATAACTGATGTGAACACGTGGAAAATAAAAAAAGCATCAAGGAAAAATTTATGTAAATTTGGCACAATCACAAAAAAAGAGCTTCTCAGCAAAATAAAAAAAAAAACTGTTTTGCATTTTGATCTGAACAATATTCATCAGCAAAAATAAAATAAAATAAAAAATTTAAAATGGCAATTTTGTACAGCCTGATAAAAGTTATTTAATCAGATTGTCAATTATGTCATCAAATAAAAAAAAATAAGGCAAAAATACATAAACCAATTTAGTTTGATCTGATAAAAATTCATCAAATAAAAATACAAACAAGGCAAAAAAAAGTATGTCAAATTAGCTTGATCTGATCAAAACAATCAAAGCAAAACGTGTGACATTTTTACAATTTGTACAAAGTTTATCATCAAACAAAAACAATCAAGGCAAAAACATGTGGAAGCTTTGTTCAATATGATAAATGTTCATCGTCAAATAAGTTCAAGTCAAAAATGTAGTTAAATTCATAAAACCAGATAAAAGTTTACGATCAAATAAAAAAACATAAAAATAAAAATTTAAAACAAAATAATGTTTAACAAAAAACATAATGAAAAAATATGTTAATTTTATTCAATTTGATATAAAATAAAATTGTTCTATCTAATAAAAACTTGTCATTTTGTTCAGTCTGATAACAGTTTGTCATTACAATCAAAGCATAACCACAGTATTGTTTTTAACGTTCAAAATAGACTGTTGAATAAAACCATAAAATAATGATATAATAAAATCATAACTGTTATACACATGCTTTTTTTAATGCATTTAGTCTGCTATTTTACTCTGACAATTTTAGGCCTATTTGTTCCATCTGATTAACTCACGCCATTTAAATTGACTTTAAATAGCCGACAAAAGGTTTCAACTACCATTAAAGCAAATTAAAATGCTAATATTATACATACATGTTCAGTACATGCGATCTCATATAGATGCCTCTTTAAAAAAACCTAACCACAGTGTTGTTTTTTCCACAGTGTGTAAAGGACACAGGACGCAGGACGGCTAAATGATAAAGACAACAGAATGTCACCCTTTCAGCCCAACGTCCTCAACCTCTGCCTTGGATTTACCTTTCCGAAAGCAGAAGCTCCCGCACAGATGTGTGTGAAGCTGAACTGTTTCTGGGTTGCCAGGATGAGAGGCGTCAGCTCCTCTGTGACAGAAAGTTTTTCATTTAAATCACTCATTAACTCCTTCCCTCACCTGTCAAGACGCTTTATGCAAAGTTACTTGTGTAAAGCTTCCATAAAGAATGTACATGTACAAGTACAATGTACAAGTATCCATGTACAACAATCAAATACTTACGCAATTTAAGAACAAAACAAAATTAAGTTGGATTTACCTGGCAATAAACCTTTGTAGGCTTCATGTTGAGCTACCAGAACTTTCTTCACCCCTTGAACTTTGGACAACTGCTCTGCAACCTGTCCAGAAACCCATAATCAGGCCCCTGAAATCACTCTTTCAATTTGCTACACATAAATCAATGTGCTTGAACAGATAATACCTTTGCACAGTTTGTTCCAGCAACCAAACAGGACACATCACTGCCAAGTTTCGTAGCAGCAGTGATGGCATTCAGGGTGATGGGGGTCAGCGTCTCATTATTGTGCTCGGCAACTACCAGAGTACTCTGAAACCTCTGAAGCAGACCAGACTGGAAAGAAAAAAATAGGTTTGGTTAACTACTGAATCTGATACAGTAAGATATAAATATCTGGCCAGCCCTTTCACCCAAATAACTGATATGAGGTTACTATTTAATGCAGTGCAGCCAGACATTGTTCTGCAGCCCACAGAGGTCATCAGAAATCTGAGACATAACAGGGATCTGATCTAATATATTAACATATCAAATGCAATGTAGGTCACATTTTAAATGCATTGTAGGTCAAGCAGTTACTTAAAGGGATAGTTCACCCAAAAATGAAAATTCTGTCATCATGTATTCACCCTCATGTCGTAGGGAAAAACAAATACTATGGAAGTCAATGGCAACCACCAACTGTTTGATTACCAGCAATCTTCAAAATATCTTCTTTTGTGTTCAACATAAGAAAGCAACTCATACAGGTTTGGAACGACATGAGGGTGAGTAAATGATGACAGAATTTTCATTTTAGGGTGAACTAACCCTTTAAGGACAGTGAAGAGGTTTCATAATGCACTGTTTACATATTGCATAACCTTGACAGATAATTAGCAAGCTCTGATTATTACCTAATCATATACCAAGTGTCATGAACAACATGTCATGTTTATTAAATGTTGTTCAGAAGGTCAATACTTCTGTTTATAGCTATAAAAAGAAGCAAAACTATGAGAATATATGAAACTTGTCGTTTAGACGCCTAGCTAGCATCCTGTACAACCATGAAAAATATGTTAGCAAAGTAACCAACACATTTGACATCGCGCTTTAACGCTCACATTTCAAAAACAACACAATAAAACAAGATGATATGGTAAAGAACTGCAGTTTAGTCAAATATTGCCTAACTTCTGCTGAACTGAATGAGTTAGCCAGCGTGCTAAGCTATTCATTTAATTGTATTTCTGTCTAGACAGGGTAACGTTAGAGAGAACAAATAACAGCTTTAAAAGGAAGTGCGCACTTGTTATTGTGTCGTTTCGACGGATTTGTCTTACCAGCTGCCGGAGATCTGTCTTGTTTATTGCTTTGAGCATGATTACAGCAGCACACTGTTACTGCTTTAGTAACAGGGGATAGAGGTTAAGTTGAGTTCTCGCGAGACTTTGCGAGATCATAAGAGACACCCCCCTCTTGAGTATAAATCAGTTTGTAACAGCTCGAATGTGGTTTTCTTGGTGGTAACATTCCTCAGGATATGTGCGTATAGTCAAATATATATATATAAATGTATAAGAAAATAAATAATCAATAAAATGTTAGTAGAGACGGAACTGTCTAATAGCAGAGTGGGCGGAGTCTGTGCGGATATTTAATTAGGAGGTGTGGTTTAACAGCTTTGATAATCTGTGGAGCTTCTAGTTCAAGTCAAGAAGAGTTGGCACTTGGCACGGAGACTGTAAACGCAGCAGGGTCCACTGGACCGAGGGTTGCATTTTTATGACTTTATTTATGATTTTCTATTATAGGCAGTGGTCATTTTTGGAAACAGTAAAGCAAAATAATGCATTTTGATATGAATATGAGCTTTTTTCAGTGTTTTTAGAGGTATGATTCTTATTAACTTTTGTTTGTTTGTTTGTTTGTTTTATTTACTACTTTTATGTAATTTATTGATTTGACATGAGATTGTATGCTTTGTATTCACGTGCAAAATAATGATTTTTTTTTTTAAGTTGAAGACAAGAGAATGATGGAGATTATTTATTTATGACTTTTTGGATTTACTGTAGTAGTTATTAAACGAAGAATTTAACGTTCAAGACTGTTCAATAAAATTGCACAATAAAATAATTGTTAAAAATCATTAAAAAAAAAAAAAAACATTTAGCCTGCTATTTTATTCTGGCCATTTTTAGGCCTATTAGTTTGAACTCATTCGTTTGAATTGACTTTATAAATAGCCGACACCACAAAAGGTTTACAACTACGATTAAAGCCAATCTAAAACACTAATATTGTGTTCGGTGCATCATGCAATCTCATAGATGTCTCTTCTCGACCCCCTCATGGAGACAACATGGTTTCTTAGTATAGCCTAAATGAAATGTATTTCTTTGCTGGGTTAGAGGTCAAAGTCAAAGGTTGAGGTTCGACCCGCGGTCACTCTGAGAGTGAGTGGATTAACAAAACGACTTTGATTGTCCGAATCATTTTCAGGGTGCAATAAACGAAATTATTCATTACGGTTGCTTTTAAAAATATGTGTGTAGGCATACTTTAATCCACATTAAACATGCCGGAGGAGAAGTGTTTATCTATATCGAAGTACAAATATGACAAAAATGGAAAGAGTAAAAGATTTAAGTTTAATTAAGAGAGAAGCACGAATTATTCGCAATACAATTTTAGAGTTTAATTCAAGGTGCGTATCGTTCAAGGAGACAAATAACACAGTCATTTTCAATAGAAGCAGAAACGAATAATTATAGGCTATCCGAAGAATGTAGGCTAGATTTCATGTAGGTCAATTATGGTAAATTTGGTAGGCTAATTACGCACAATTAATCGGTCAATAGATTAATCGGATCTGAAACATGTTTTATTCGCAGCCAAACTAAACTGTCGAAATTCCTTAATAGGCTCACTCCAAGTTTGTTCTAATAGCCTACTCTGCACTGCTGTAATTTAGTAATGTTGTTACAGTTAATTAGCCTACACTCTTTTCTACCTAAATTATACTTTTTTTTAGACTCCAAAGGCTTGGAATGGCAAAGATGTAACTGATTATGAACATATCAAACAATATGTGATGTTATTTTGACGTCCAGGAGGGGGCTCACTAGAACACATGGACTTAAATTAATATGGATTTACCCATACGGACATTTTTCAAAGCAACGAAGACGAAATATCTATGAGTTTCCTTTGTTTTGAGAACGTGCTAATTTTGGAGACTATTTTAAAATGAATTAATATATATTTTAAAACCTTATTCTAGCTTTATTTTATGTTATAGACTAGGCTACTTTAATCAAATGCAGTTTAAACCCGCAAAACATTTCACTTGTAAAATAAATAAAAGGCTTTCACGTTAATATGTTCGTTCGTAACGTTAAACACTCGCGTGCAGTGACTGCACACTCCTTGTTCTTAAAACTGAACCTAAAACATTCCCTGTTTCGTGAATTTCAGCTACTTTTCGTGTTTGCTCGTTCACTGCAGTAGCTACTTTGTGCTGTTTCACAGTTATGTTTGGACAGACAGAAGTGTGAGTTTGATCTGCAATTCCTCGGTATGGTATCCAATATTCAAAGCATCTCGCGTGGTCGGATCTCCGCGAGCGTGCGTCCAGGTTTGCATGTGACGTCAGAGCCCGTGTGTGTGTGTGTGTGTGTGTGTGTGTGTGTGTGTGTGTGTGTGTGTGTTTCTCCCCGCATTGCTCTTCCCACAGGCTCTTCGGCCAGAAGTTATTAGTCAGCTCGGGACGAGGCAGTTTCCCATTCCATTTCCTCATCTGGAGCCTTCTGCCTCAACCCTCCTGTATGGTGGATATTCTACCCCATCCTTCTTTCTTGGGTGATATGGGGGATCATTCAAAAAGTAAGTGCTGGATGTTTATTTTACAAGTTTTTCGTCATTGCACAAGAAGTTTGAATATCGTTTATGCAAAATTAATTTTGCAAACAGTAGCTACTGACATGTATTATGTCAAAAGCTAGTATTACATTGATCAAATTTGGGCTATGATTTTTTGTCCTAAATGTAAAAAAAAATAAAATAAAATAAAAGCATGACTATTATACTAAAACTGAACTATTATAATGAAATAAAACAGAAGAAATCGACATTTTTTTGGTCTAGCGACATTCAAAACGAGGATGCATGCATGAAACATGAGCTCTAATGTAGCCTATAATTTTCCTATATATTTACACGACGCTGGTGTTTTGCGGGATTGAACAGGGGTGCAGTCGGTGGACACTAATCCCTGCTTTCCACATCCAGAGAAGTCTGGGATCGCCATGTGTGTAGGCTGTGGAAGTCAGATCCATGATCAGTACATCCTGCGAGTGTCCCCGGACCTGGAGTGGCACGCAGCCTGTCTGAAGTGCGCAGAATGCAGTCAGTACCTGGACGAGACGTGCACTTGCTTCGTCCGAGACGGCAAGACTTATTGCAGGAGAGATTACGTACGGTACGAGCCACTCTATATTTGTGATTTCACAGCTTTGGAATTCCGTCGAGGCCCTCTTTTTCACAGATTCCTGACCCAAACAGATCTAGAGATATGGGAAAACTCTGCAATAGCGTTTTTACCATGAACTAACTAATAAAAAGCCGGTGTTGCGAAGGTAAAAGTAGCCTATAGATTACAATTATATTATTACATTAGGCTATGCTACTATACTATATAATATAATTGTAGGCTAAATATAATAGCTAAGATATTTAGCGGAGACTGTCATTCTTTTTCAGCAAAATTCCAAGCATGTAAATATGGCTTGAGTGTTTGGTTTATACTGTATATTACAGTCATGTTTGATTTAGGCTTGCCATGCTTGTTTTCTAGTACCGGTGTTTGTTCAGTTTTGTTTTGAAGTTTGCTTTGTAAAGAAATATAATTCCGTTGGTAATACTTTATGTAAAGCCTGTAAGGGTATTCTTGATGATGCAATATAATGTGTTCATTTTGTCTAATAGGCTACACCTTATTATAGGATATTAAATGCATGCTCTAATAAATATAGGCTATGAAACCTCAGATATAGCTACTATAACGTATAAGGTATACCTGTAAAGACTAATGCATCAAAACAATTGTCAGACACTCAATGTTAGAATGTATACTCTTTAAACTCCTTTGTGCCCAGAAATAAACGCGTAGGCCCACTGTGCATACAAATATCCATGAAAGAATAAATGCATGTTTTATAATGTGTATTACTGTTTTTATAATGCATTAAATGCTTTAAGAAAATAGTTATCGTTGTGTTTACGGTCCGTGTTTCTCGGCCTTGTGATAGCTATCAAGCTGAGGTGGGATGAACGATTTTGGAAACGAACACTAAAATAAGAAAAGGTTTCTTCTGGAAATCGCAGGTTATTCGGGATCAAATGCGCCAAATGTAACACCGGTTTCTGCAGCAGTGACCTGGTGATGAGGGCCCGGGATAACGTCTATCACATGGAGTGTTTCAGATGCTCGGTGTGCAGCAGGCATTTGCTCCCGGGAGATGAGTTCTCTCTGCGGGAAGAGGAGCTGCTCTGCCGGGTGGACCACGGGCTGCTGATGGAGCGCGCTTCAGCCGGGAGCCCCATCAGTCCCGGAAACATTCACTCCAACAGACCCCTGCACATCCCAGGTAGCAGTAATAATACTATTACTAATAAAATTAATCATAATAATGATAATAATTACAGTGCCTAAGTAACACATTTATATTCGGGAACTCGGAATTATATAGGCCTACATAATCCGGGTGCTAGGCTAATATATTATTACAATAATAATATTATATATTACATATTATATATAATAATACATAAATAAAATAACAATAATAATGTCATTGTTGTTATAGTCGTTGTGCAATAATACAATTACTACCAGTGTGAGATTCCTGTCTTTAATTCTGTGTGCTACAGCTAATCAGCTTGTGAAACTTTGTTAACAGACGGAACCGAGTAGCTTGTGTTCTGTGCCTGCAGGCCAGTTTGAAGATATTTGTTTTCAATCCCTGATGGCAGACTTGCAACTGGCTGAGATTGTTTGAGGATATTCTTGATTGAATTAACATGACCTGAAATTAATCTGAAACCGGTTATTGGCATAATGGTTTGAAATTATGGCCGCGGCGTTTAACTACTGAACAGCGTTTTTCTTAGTTTATTATGTTTTAATAAAAAGAAATTGCAGTAGCCTAATATTGCGATCTTCTAAATTAAGATCTGTTATTAGGCTATATAGACAGAATTTTAAGTGTTGGCTGTTAGCGTGGTGAGATATCTGAAAAGAAAATGCCCTTTTTTCGTTAAATACATTATTTATAAGATTTACATTTCGAGCTAAAACTGCCTTTAGATGATTTGACTAAAATAACCCGTGTAAATGGTGAACTGTCTAATGCTTTGATATCTGACTGACTTAAAGCTTAAACAGCATTAAACCATAGCCTACAAATATTCTGTTCGATTATGTGTCACTGCTTAACCCTCTTATTACTCTGCAATATGGTGCACTTATTGCATGTTATACTTTTATATCCTATGTCGATCCTTGAACATTTTGCACATTCAGCAAAGTTGAGAGCATATTGAAAGCCCTATGGTGTTTGGCTACAGACCGATGTGTGTATGCACAATTTAACCTTCAAGCGTGCTCTTCTGCTGTGTGTCTGAATAATGAAATCACCTCTTAAGCCGAAAAGTGATTTATACGCCTTTTATTCGCAGAACCTGTACCAGTTCGACAGCCAGCTCACCGGAACCACGTTCATAAGCAGTCTGAGAAGACCACGCGTATTCGGACAGTATTAAACGAAAAGCAGCTCCACACTCTCCGGACGTGTTATAACGCAAACCCGCGACCGGACGCGCTAATGAAAGAACAGCTCGTGGAAATGACCGGCCTGAGCCCACGCGTCATACGAGTGTGGTTTCAAAACAAACGCTGCAAAGACAAGAAGAGGTCCATTCTTATGAAACAACTACAGCAACAGCAACACAGCGACAAAACGGTAGGAATATACATTTTGCAAGCAACCCTAATGACGGAAAAATATTGATACAAACAGGTTTAATTTCAACTTGTTTCAGTGTCGACTCTGTAGGCTACTCTTCAAATAAAGTTTCTTCAATGTTTTTTTGGAGCACCTTAGAGAATCCAATTTTATTCCTTATTATTGAACTAGCTGTAAGCTATTTTGGAGATTAAAAAAGTTACTGATGTTACATAACAGGTTTTTCGGCTTCTTATCACGCTAGTTCTCGTCTGTCGTTTATTTTTTAAATTGACATGTGAACGATAGCTATCAAATAAAGGTGCTTCACGATGCCATAGAAGAACCTTTTTGTCTAAATGGTTCCATAAAGAACCTTTAACATCTGAAGAACCTTTCTGTTTCACAAAAGGTTATTTGTGGCGAAATAAGGATTATAAAATCTAATTCTTCAGATTATAAAAAGGTAAGAAAGAGATGGTTCTTTAAAGAACCTTTGACTGAATGGTTCTTTGTGGGACCAAAAATGGTTCTTCTATGGCATCGCTTGAAGAACCTTTTGAAGCACCTTTATTTTTAAGAGCGTAGAGCCCAATCTGTAATCACACCGCTCAGTGACATCTCTGGAATGACCGCTTATTGATTTCCTATTGAAATAATTTTGTCATAACGTTCATGTATTTCTGCCATATAAATGTCAGTCTGTCTTCTAAGAATATATACTTAAACTGACTCACAATTACAACTGGACTCCAAGCTATCTAAAAATGACATTTTAAAATACTCGCAATCAGACTACAGTTACTTTTTTTATTGATTACATATTATTCACACAATAGCAATACATTCTTCATAATTGATTCATTCTCCCTAATTCCTCTTTTTCATCTTTTAAATGTTCCTTTGTAAAATAGCTACCGCTTATAGACACTCAGAAAGTCTTCGGTTTTGTGGACGTTCACACAGAGATCAGTCAGTAGTCAGGTGGCTACAGCATTTGACCACTAGATTTACAAAAATAATAATAATTTCAGGTATAACAAGTGTTTTAATACTGCATCCAGTACTGATGAACACATTCATTTTTATTTAAATTATCACTCAGTCGGTTATTTAACCACGTAAGCCTATTACTATGTCTTTGGAAGGCTTTTGTCTTTCAAACACAGTACATGCTCAAGTTCATGTCATTTCTTATTTACATGTAGTGCAGGCATTCCCAAACTTTTTTGTCATCTGAACCCCTTTCACCTAACATACTTACTTGAAGTATCTCCTGAGATTTTAAAATAAGTATGTTAATATTCATATAAATATGTCAATAACCACTGACATTGGTAAATGATCACATGACATGCAGGTAAATGATGATTTTTTTTTTTAATGATTGATGCAATTTTAATTATACATTTTTATGATTTAATTATTAGCTTTTCATTAAACTCACGAACCCCCTGCAGTTTCTTTATGAACCCCAGTTTGGGAAACCTTGACATAATGTAGCAGTCTGAGAAGACCACGCGTATTCGGACAGTATTAAACGAAAAGCAGCTCCACACTCTCCGGACGTGTTATAACGCAAACCCGCGACCGGACGCGCTAATGAAAGAACAGCTCGTGGAAATGACCGGCCTGAGCCCACGCGTCATACGAGTGTGGTTTCAAAACAAACGCTGCAAAGACAAGAAGAGGTCCATTCTTATGAAACAACTACAGCAACAGCAACACAGCGACAAAACGGTAGGAATATACATTTTGCAAGCAACCCTAATGACGGAAAAATATTGATACAAACAGGTTTAATTTCAACTTGTTTCAGTGTCGACTCTGTAGGCTACTCTTCAAATAAAGTTTCTTCAATGTTTTTTTGGAGCACCTTAGAGAATCCAATTTTATTCCTTATTATTGAACTAGCTGTAAGCTATTTTGGAGATTAAAAAAGTTACTGATGTTACATAACAGGTTTTTCGGCTTCTTATCACGCTAGTTCTCGTCTGTCGTTTATTTTTTAAATTGACATGTGAACGATAGCTATCAAATAAAGGTGCTTCACGATGCCATAGAAGAACCTTTTTGTCTAAATGGTTCCATAAAGAACCTTTAACATCTGAAGAACCTTTCTGTTTCACAAAAGGTTATTTGTGGCGAAATAAGGATTATAAAATCTAATTCTTAATCCAAAACTGGGTTTTCCCAGCGACGCCATAAGAACCATCTTTCAGTGAACAATTCTTAAAATAACATTTTTTTTCTTGGTGTGAAGAACATTTTAATAATCTAAAGAACCTTTTCCACTAAACAACATGTTGTGCAATAGAATGGTTCCATGAATGTTAAAGGTTCTTCATGGAACTACTGATGCCAATAAAGAACCTTTAGTTGTAAAAGTCTGTCTGTCTGTCTATCTATCTATCTCTGCACTAAAGCACTTTAGTTGTTCATAATATACACTTTACAAAATGAGATGAGACTATATTATCGCATATTGATGTGATGTTTTAAAGATTCTGAACATCTATGAAATTCCCCCCGAAGTGTTAAGCTTCTTTGAAAATTGAAATACGATAGCTACGTGTTGCTAAGGTATCTCCTCTACCTTTCTGCAGAATCTTCAGGGTCTCACGGGAACGCCTCTGGTGGCAGGCAGCCCGATTAGACATGACACCACAGTCCAGGGAAATCCTGTAGAAGTTCAAACCTATCAGCCTCCGTGGAAAGCCTTAAGCGACTTTGCTTTACAGAGTGACCTGGACCAGCCTGCTTTCCAACAGCTGGTGAGGACTGCAGTCCCCGAACAGTTATTACAAGTCCTACCATGCCGACTTTTCTTTAAATCAAAATGATCAATTTAAACGTTTTCAAAGCAATACATTGGACTGCGGATTGTTATATTGGATTTAAGGGGCGTTAGCCAACATTTGGCAATTATTTCAATTTTGCTCAATTTCAAGCGAGCACTGAATTGTAATTGTTTTTCCTTACAAGAAGGAATATATATGACTAAATATAGCCTATTCGTTTAACAGGATGTCGTTATCTGTAGCCCTGCCTGTTATTTAACAGCATGCCAAAGTTGTGTAGGCTTTTGTAAATGTCAATTGCAAATCGTATGTAAAACTCTGACATTTAATCACTGATTGTCAACTCTCCTCCCTTTTTATAGGTGTCATTTTCCGAGTCGGGTTCGCTGGGTAACTCGTCTGGTAGTGATGTGACCTCTCTGTCATCGCAGTTACCCGACACCCCCAACAGCATGGTGCCCAGTCCCGTGGAGACGTGAGAGCCCACCGGAGGACTCCTGCTCCAGCATGCCTTCACCCGCCCTGCATGAAAACCCATCACCTCACCGCCTCAAACGGAAAAAGGGATTAACCGAGATGGATTTAAACAGTTTGTCAAACGGAGGAGCCTGTCCAAGCGACTTTGGGGTTTCCAGACGTGTTACAAAACAGTTTTTTAAGCATTTGGACAGTATCGAGGACGTCCAGCGGAATATGAACACATTATTTTGGTTTTGATTATGGACCACTGTCATCCTTACGAAACAACAGTCTTAACAGTGTTTATTCAAGACCATCATTGTGTAGCGTTATCAACAAGTGGTATTTTCCTTGTAAGACAAAAATCATTTTTTTGTCTTAATGCGCATGATCTCTCCGAAGATGTATAAAACCGAGCTGTAAAATATTTTATCGTAACGAATGGAGGAAAGATTGTATACACTTCTCGATTTAAAAAAAAGTAAGTTATTGTTATTTATTGTCAGGACAACCGTCCATACCAAAAACTGAGAAATTACCTAAATAAACGACTTTAAATGCTGTTTATGTCTGAGGAAGCCTGCATGCAAAGACAACCATATCATGTTACCTTTACATATCTTTTTATATTATAACAAGAGACACTTAAGTTTCAAAGGTATTGGTTACTGGACTGGGAATAATTGTCCAAAGATCTAGTAAAAAGAAAAAGAGCAACGTGAACAGAATTAAATAGTGAAAGACATTTCAGTGTCGTGATATCTGAATTTATTCTGACAAGAATTTGGAAATTGTATTTTGTATTTAGCTTTTTCATCCATTTATACAGACGTGCATTATTACTTTTTTTTTAACAATAGTTAGGTTAAATTATACATTTCCTCTTTGAGATTATAAATAGCCTATAGAGACGGAATAGTTTGAACTGTAATACTGAATATAAAAAACAGCATTATGCAGAATTTGTTCTTTGATTTGGGAATACGCTTCTAATTCTCTAAGACTACTGAGCACCAAAATGACGTCTTTTAAAAGAGAGTTTTCGTAAAAGTGATAGGCCTATTTATAACACAGCTGGCCAATAACTAATAAAGACGCACTGATTGAGGCCATAACTTGATCACAGATCCCTAATCTGTCACATTCAACTCTTAACGGAGGCTACGAATGAATATACATCTATCTATCTAAAAATCGTGCAGAGCGGATACTGAATGAGTAATTGAACCCCTCCCGTAGCAGTGATCAATCTCGTGTTGCTCGTAAAGCTGTGAGTCTAGACGGAGGACGCAGGGATCGGCGGCCGCTTATCTGCGCTCGGCATCACCTGCAAATGATCCAATGAATGAAAGCACAACAAACCCGAAGCCACCTTTCTCTTAACGGGACTCCCTTTCGGCAAACGCACCCTTGCATGTCCAGGGTTTATTTTTATTCCGAGGCAGCAGATAGCCGCTGGACACCAGAAGATCAGACCAAAATCACTGCGGGCCATTGTGGCAAGATAATCCAGGTGTGTCAGATAACGAAACTCTGAAGGATAGGCAGCCTATTAATTTCTGTTGCTTCATTTATTTTTCTGCAATTAGGCCAATTCAGGCATTCAAACGTTGTTTTGCTTACAATTATAATCTAGTTTTTGTTTTTAACAAATGTTTTACTTTTAAGAGCCTGGGAAATCAAGGGTGGCTTTTAGTCCATGTATACACTCTAAAAAATGCTGGGTTGTTTCAACCCAACTTTGGGTCAAATATGGATTAAACCAACTTTTTGGTTAAAAATGTAATGTAAAAATTGAACCCAACGGTTGGGTTAGTCCATATTTGACCCAAAGTTGGGTTGAAACAACCCAGCATTTTTTAGAGTGTAGGCTTGAGACGATAGTTCTGCTAAGCTTTTAGCAAATATGTGGATTTAGCAAATATTTAGCAAATATGTGGATTTAATGTGTAGTCTATTTCTTCCTGAAAACAGAACAAGGTTATTGGTGACTCATCCCGCATTACTGATTTTTGTCCAATCAAATGGTCTCTAAAATGACAATGGGAGGGGCCCTCCATCAACGCCTGAAAATGACTAGAATGTAGGAAATCGGATATGCCTTCATGAAAATGCGTATAAATAGTACGCCAAATAAAAACGAAAACTCGTGTTATTGATACGCAAAAATGGACTTTGGCGTGTATATGCTACGCACGTGTTTGGCGTGCATATAATACGCAGTTTTCGTGTGCATATGATACGAAATTTGTTGGCGTGCATATGATACGCAGTTTTAGCGTACATATGATACGCATCTACCCCACAACCCTAATCCCTCCCATCGCGTAGCATATACACGCCAAAGTCCATTTTTGCGTATCAATACCACAAGTTTTCGTTTTTAATTGGCGTAGCCTACTATTTATACACACTTTCATGAGATCCGGTTAAGATACCAAGAAAGATTGGTTACATATGTGGTTAAATAAAACCCGGTGATAAGAATTTTCACAGGACATTGCTGTCCATAAATACATACACGTTCTTTAATAATAAGTTCATCTTTAGTATCTGGAAAAAAAAGGGAATTCCGACAGATGTTTTGGCGTTCCAAAACAAGCCATTCCACATGTCCCTCTCAAGCTGCCTGTTTCAATAGGAAATAGGTAAACTGAGATAGTTACGCGATATTGCGGGGTCTTTAGGTAATACACCTTAAAATCTGAAATCTTGCATTGAGGTATTGTTAGTGTTCTCTATTCAAAACCTAACAGCAAAATCTTACAGCGATTAAATACTTAAATATAATATTTACATAGGTTATTGAATTTCCATAGGCATTTTTAAAACATCTATTTAACTATTTATAGCCACCTTTCCACTGCACAGAGGCGGTTTGTGAGAGGCCGTTCACGCAGGCGCAGCGCAGACAGACGCCGGAGCGCATTCTGGGTGGAACTCCTCAATTCTGTTTGTAAGGACAGACAACAAGAAGTAGGCTATTTAATTTAAATATAACCAAAGTCCGAACTTAAGCTTATACCTTAAAACATTACCACTATTCTTTTGCTGTCTTGTAAGTAGGTTTGCTAAACCGTGTTCAGATCTGATCCTGATTACAGCCCATTAAATCGACTGAAATTAAGAGTTTAAATAGATTCCCATAAAATATCCCTTGTAAATGACTACGGTTTGTCGACATCAGCGCTTATAGATAGTTGCTTTAGGGAGAAATAACGATTCAGATGTCATGGCCAGAGGTCAAGAGCTGCATCTTGGTTCAAATTCCGCCACTAATTTAATAATTTAGGCCTAATTAAATAAACGCATACTTAATCCAAGTTCATGTTTGTATAAAACAAATCTCGAAATTCTTTGCAAAGTACAACTCTGTCCTTGTCTGTCATGTTCATTTGAAAAGTCAAAGTATTTAGCTAACCTTTAGTTTATAAATCTAAAAACCAACCCATATTCGACTCTTAAAGCTAAACAACTAATACATGCCCCTTTATGGAAATGTCGGTGTTAGTTCATATATTCATGTTTAAATTATTCCTTACAATTAATTTTGAAAACTGTCACAACAGACAAGCTGAAACCTTGAAATATAACGAAATAATCTATATCCAAATATCTTGGATGCTGACAACAGGCAAGAAATGTCAAGCACATTTAGGGCTTTTCTTCAACCAAATTTTGTTTTAGCCTGTTGAAAAATAATATTTATTAGCCAAATATATAAATTTCGTATAGGCTATATATAAAAAGCTCGTAAAATTGACAAGGTATACGAAAATCAAAGGTATTTAAGTAAGAAAAATTAATAATATTAAGTTTGACTTAGACTGCATAAAATGCTGCAAAATAATTCTCGACATTCTTGAGCACAAATCTAATTTTCACACAATCGGTTTAGCGAAACAAACATTTAAACAAACAAACAAATTAACTATTAAATTAAATGCTGAAGCGCTTTACCATAAATTAAAACCCGTAATGATGTAAATACCTAATTGTTTGAAATTTGCCATTACATAAGCTTTTTATTTTACACATTTTCCCACACGGCGAAAAGCGTCAATTTGTCGAAAATGACATTGTTAATCTGTATTTCATAGAATGGTGCGGTTGTTGATGTGTATTTAAAAAAAAAGGTGTATTTTGGGCGTCATCATAAAAACAGGTTTCTTCTTCACACGCTCACAGACGCATTTCTTAATTACATGTAGAAAATAAGAGAAGCATTTCAGTGAACGCAAGAGACATTCAGACAACAGATTTAGCAAACAAATTCAGTCTCTAAAAACATGAACGCTCATGATTCATTAACTGACAGGACGGAAAGGGCCACAGCGTTCTTCTGTCCGAATTCACTTCAGGCTGCCAAAATCACGAGAACGTCAAGATCTCAGATGGTTCTGGAATAGCAAACGGAACGGTCAATAAAAACAGCTCCCACTCGAGTTGTCACAAACACACCCGCTTCATTTTCAAAGCCCACTAACTAGATCTCACATAAAATACATCCATTTTTAAAAGTAATATATTAAAAAGTCTCAATCCAAATGACCTTAATTGATATACATAATTTTTTCCCCACATTTGGTGTAGAAGTGATGGTCTTATGAAACTGGAGGTGTGTCTGACCCAGAGGCTCCAGCGCGCGTTGACACATCGGTGTGTTGAGTGACTCAGAGGCGGCGGAGTGGAGCTGCTGTGACTCACACAGGTACAGAAAAGCCTATAGACTGAGTGTGTGAGAGAGAAGGATTGAACAGAAGAACAGCGGGCTGTTTGTGGTGCCCCAGGGCCAGTAAGGACCCTGGTTAGGAGGCCACAACCCTTTTACAATGCCGTTTAACCATGCAGGTTCCAGCTCCACTGCGTTTCCCAGCGAATAAATTAGTACTGTAAGTTAGCCAATAAAAGCTCTCAATTAAAACACATCCCATGTTGCTTATTTTTTATAGAGATGTTCCTATAGCTATAATAAAATACAGCACTTTTTAAAATAACCTTAATCTCCAGTATGCTTAAACATTACAATCATGCATGGGAGTAGTGTAAAATGTTGTTAATATATTTTTAATTCAAGTTGCTTAATTTACAGTGGGGTCCAAACGACTGAGACCATGTCGAATGTCAGTGATTTCAAATCTGAAT